TTGGTCAATTGGACTAACTGGACTTTTTAAATGACCATTGGACTTATGAGAGGTTTGCTATTAAAAAATCGAGTCACGAGCATAGTAAATCATATGATCCGTACCATCAAAAATTCATGGACATTTAACTTCTAACCGTGACAAATAATATTTCGCCACTCCAAAAAAAAAATTGTCCCCTGAATAAAAACAGAAACTTGAGGGGTGTGGTACGAGGTGCCAAATATTTTATTATTATAATCACGTGTCCGAGGGAAGATAGCAAACCTCCCATATGTCAAGAATAACTGGACTTCTAACACTGGTTGAAACATATAAAAATATTTGTGATATTAATCCTTCAAATATTTCCAAAGTCATCATGAAAATTCACATTTTCATGCATGACGTTGCTGCGAATCATTAAGTTTGACAAATATTTTGTGAATAGATGGTTACTTTAATAATGGAAGGTTAAATTAAATTCTATGTCAGAAATATGTACAATTTAGTATTTTAATTGCTTGAACTATATTTTTTATCCGCTTTATTTACAAATAATAAAAACTACGAGGTGAATATAATTTGAGATTAATTAACTATGGAAAAAATATAACAAAATAAAGGATATTTTAAATATAAATTATATTGAAGCATTAGTTGATAAAAGAAGATGAATTGGTACAATAAGATATAATTAATAGGTAGGAATATAACTACTTCTATCATGTTCTACGATGCTTCCGGGTAAAGTATGTTCCTCATTAATGTGTCTAGGGGGTAGTGCTTTCCTTTTTTTATTCCATCTATTTATTAAAAATCCAAAAGTGATAAAAATAAATAAAACTAATGCTCCTCCTATTGATGCGATTATAATTTTCATTAATTTATTATCGGATTTTGTTGCAACATTTGTTAATTCAAATGAATTAACCCACGTATAATTTCTAATATCCATTATATAAATGTTAGAATTCGGTAATGTAAATGGATCGGAATTTGGATATGTAATATTTCCTATTATAAAAATTGGAATTTATTACAAAATAAAGAATTCTATTTTATATTATTATTATAAAGCAATATAAAAATTTACTTACCAAAAGCTACAATCATATAATTATCAACCATGTTAGTTGTATGACCAGTAAGTGATGGTGGAACTTTACCAATATTTGACGTAACTGGTGGTACACTCAATTCAAATTGCTCAGTTTCCATATTTAAAACAAACATAACTGGAACAACTTGGGCATTATTAATAATGTTATTGAGAATTCTAGAACCTCCATAAATAATTATTTTACTATTAGAGACTATTAAAATAAATAAAAAAGCAAATAAATAAATAATGGTTTAAATAAACTGTTATATTAAAAACTTATACCTAACACTGCCGTGTGTCCTTTACGATTTTCGATTACGCTTGAAGTTTTCGCCATCTATAAATGAATGCACATCAATTATTTATATTTTAAAAGATTATTACTTTTGTTAGCACAGAATACATACTTTTTCTGACCAAGCTAATGTATTCGTATCGTAAAGAATGATTTGTTTAATATCAGTAATATCATCTTCAAATCCTCCAATATATACAATAACTCCATTATTCAGTAAATTTGCGGTATATAGATATCTTGGATTCGGTTGATTAATTGTTTTGATTACCCAAGATAATTCAACAGTATTTAAAATTGCCATATCATTGAAAGTCATTGATGTTGGTGAACCTGTCAATGGTCCAGTAGATCCACCAAATATATACATGATTCCAGAATTAGCGATAACGCTCCGTATATTTCTGCGTTTTTTAGGTGGAGTTCCTCCGACGTCAGGTACATTCCACGTTAAAGAATTTAAATTGAATGAATGAACACTTGATACAAAAGCATCTTGTCTCAAATCATTACGCATAATTCCACCGAATAAGTAAATAATTTGCTCCTTATCATTTAGCGAAATAGTTCCCCAGCAACTATTGAATGGTATTTTATAATTTTGCTTGAGGTCAATCCAAGTGGAGTAACTAAATTAAATGACCGAGATAAATCAAGGTAAAACACTTCATTTGAACATTTAGTATAATTTAATACCCCTCCAAAAAAATAAAGTTTATTTCCAACAAGGACAGAAGAATGAGAATATCGTCCTACAGGTGTAAACGACTCAACACTAAACAACTAATATCTTAAAATGAAAATGAAAGTTTCAAGCAATTTATAACTCTTACAAATCATAATTGCAATTAAACTAAAAAAAAAAATTTTTGAATAATATAAATGGAAGTATTTTAATTATTTATTAACGTGCTACAATATTTGTTACACAACATAATGTAATACGATCACCCATTGGCAGTCATTTAATGTACTACCAAATTGAGTTATATTTTATGTTTTACTACATACTGTATATTTAATTTGTAAAACAATTTATCAAACTTAAAATTTTTGGAATTTATTGGCAAAAAATGAAAGCAAACCGATTATCTCAGTTAAAAGATGTCATTTATATCTTTAAATATAAATTGCCAAATTAAAGTATTATTAGGATTAGTGCTCCGAAACGATCGAGTCGACCCGGGTTGCTCGAATTTTTTCTCGAGTCGGGACTAACATTTTTATGACACGAGTCCTAATTCAAAAAACCCGCCGGGTAAGGGTCACGTTTTTGCTTGACCCGAGTCGACCCGGTGACCTGGATGATCTGATTTAAACAATATCAATATAAAATTGACGCGCTAGACTTTTTTTTTGTTTTATGTTACGCGACTTTAATTAGTAACAAATAAATAATAAGTAGACTACCGATAGTACAAATTCTTCTAGAAAACGAAAAGCATTGCGGAGTGAACAATTACAGGTATTATCATTTATTAAAATTAACTAATACATTTTTTTATAAAGCAACAAGTGTTTTAGTAATTCAAGATTTTCTGGCGGAACCGATCTGATATCGACCAAAAGATGTGGTCTTAAAGCTAATACAATTCGCCTATATGTGCTTGAATTCTGGTGAAAAAAGATGTAAAAAAAAAAAGAATTAGGATTAATGCTCACAAAAAAAAAAAAAAATTTTAAAAACAAATAAATTTTGTATAACACTTTTTATTTACGGCATTAATATAAATATTTATAAATGAAAAAATGCTGAAAAGTTTGTCACCGCTTTGCTTAACCTAATATGTAGAAGAATTGTTTTTTGGAATTTAAGCAACAAATTCAATTTACAGCTCTTTTTTGAAATGAAGCAGCGATCGATGTTTTTTAAAATATTGAATCCCTTTCTTTTTCTTTAGATTCCTCTTCGAAATCGGATGGTTTCTGTTAGAATAAATGCTTTCGTTGTTTTATTTTTATGTTACTCCAACTCCAAAATTATTTTATATTTTATTAATTAAACTGTATATAAAAGAAAACTTTTTGAAATATTTAAAAATAAAATATGTAAATTACTTTGAAATTATCTTGAAAAGTCTTGAAAAATAAAGAATTATTTTTTTTTTGTTTATTTGTTTATAAAAAAAATATTGGAAATAAATTTAAAAAGTAAATAACATAAATGTAATGATTTGTAAGAAGCGCCGAATCGGTTTAGTTTTTTAAAAATAAAACCGTCTTTATGCGTCTTTTTCTTGATTTTTAGGTTGTTGAGGTGCAACATCGAATCGGGTAAGTATTTAAATTTTTTTCCATATATTAAACCACTGTCCTTTAAGGTTAGCATAAAACAACTCTTGAGATTTCGAGTCGAGTCTGGGTTAAATAATAATCGGGTCGAGCCGAATCTGAATTGAACAATGATCGAGTCAAGTCAAATTCGGATTCTGTAATTATTAACGGGTTTGAGTTCGAGTATTAAACCTGACCTTACGGAGCACTAATTAGGATCATCACAATAAAAATTTTACGTCATTTAATAAAATATAAATTGAGCCTCAAACGATAAAGATTCATGATTTTATGATATACTTCATCTTTATTATTATAAAAAGGCTTTTAGAAACAATAAGGATCACTTCAAAAATCTCGTTTATTTTAAAAAGAAATTGAACTTTTCCCATAAGCTGACAGAGAAAGAATAAAATATTAATATAAAATTGCATCCATTTATATATTTTGTTATTTACTTTTTTCTAACAGACATAATTCAATGTTATGTAATAAATGTTATAGCCCTTAGGGTATTGCGCCGTTTACAAATATTTTCATTCGAATCCGTTAACAAATAATATAATTCTTGTTTAGGAGCCAAAATTTTATAATTTATTAAAAAATAATTATTTTTACAAGAAAAATTTATGCTTTTATAAAAATTTTGCGATTAATTAATTGAAGTCCTAGCGATATGTTTTATGTTTTCTTCCCGCACATTTTAAAAAATTAAAGCCAAAAAAGCCAAATATAGAAATGATTATCATCCTCAATCAAAAAAAATAAATATTTGAACGTTAATTAATACATTTATGTATTTAAATGTTCGTGTGTTGAAAATTCTCTATAAATTTATCTTATTCTTTCAATTTTCTGGTCAGCAATTTATAAGTATACATAAACGAAATATAAGAAGAATAAATTTTTTTTTTAAAAAAATGAAATTTATTATAAAAAATATTATTTTTAATAAAAAAAAAAAAAAACTGAGTGAATTTTGTTATTAAAATTAGTAATTCAATACTTGATATATACAATAAGTAGCAACAAAGAATAAATATTAAAATAGAATCACAAGATATAATAAATGTAGCGTGATATTAATAAAAATGTATTGATACGAAAGACAAAAATTTAAAATATATCAAGGATAAGCGCATAACTTTTCGTAGTCGCACCAAATCTTATCACCAAGAATCTTTTTAAATTTGTTCCACTCACAATATTCCACACGACCCGGAATATAAAGCGGTTTAAAATCAAATAATATTCGTATGTATACGTGATTACCGGAATTTCGAAATAAAGATTAGAAGACCAGTGTATGGTCCTATATTCTGAATATTCGACGTTTTGAATATGTTCAAAGGTAAAATTTCCCGTGAGTGGATATTCATTTTTAAATAACCCCTGAAATTAAAAGAACATATATCGTTATCATGAATTAATAAGATAAATAAACAAAATGAATTAAAACTGAACTATATGAACATGCACAAATTTACATACGAAAGTTGTAAGTATCATCATCATAGAAAAAGCATGAGCATTTTTTAGATCAGCTTTCACGGTAGAATTCCCATACAAATGACCTTCAACTCCATTAACAAGTTGAGTAATATATCTACAACCTATTTGTAAATTAAGTGTGGGCTACCATATGATAATCGATAATAAAAGTCCAGATCCCAATAATATCGTGATAATAAAAGTTCTTTAAGACTCAATAAAGAACACCATGCATCGGTTCGATTATAAACTGTGAGCCAGAATTGGCAATTAGTAAACATAAATGGTACTAGATGTTGATAAGATAATCTCGAGTATACTTGTATAAAACGCATAGCGCTGGGTTATAGGAAATAAATAAACCGAAGACAAATATTGATTGAATATATAATGTAGTATGTAAACCGCATCTTTCTTAAGATTATATAATAATAATTGAACACTGAAAATTTTTTTTTTTTTTGAAGAAACTTGGGAACGCAAATGCTTTTATTTAACATTTTATATTGAATAAAGTCTTGGCGTTATCCTTAGACAAATATTTGGAAATGAGTATGAAGGTATTATCTTAAAATGAAATGAGTATGGTAGTATTTTTAACCATAATGCATATGAACATTTCGATTCGTATAATTTTTTAATCAATTTTAATGCATAAACATATAAAATTAAAAATATAATAGTTACCTTTATAAAAGGCAAATAACAAGAAATAAAAATAATCTGACAACTCTAATTGTATGGAAAATACACTTACCACGATTGTAGCGTAGTTCGGAAAAAAACAATTAGAATCTTAGATCCAGAAACTTTTTCGGGATTTAATCCTGATCACCACTCTCTAGATTCATATGTCATCATTAGCGATCCATACCATATTTGAATTGATCCGGTCCGGTATTATGGGTTGGCATTAATTATAAATAAATAAATACTATTTATAATGATTCTATTATTTTTTATGTTTAAATTTGGTTCATTAGGCGACTAATGTCATATTTTCGATAGTTTTATTTAAGTAATCGACACGTGCCTGGAAAATTTGAGATAACAAAAAAAAAATTGATTTTTAAAACTTTAATTAATTTGCAACATAAAATTGATAGTTTCAAGGAATTAAACTAGTTATTTCAAGGAATTGTATGATTGAAAGTTATAAAATTTAACATTAACTAGATTAGGTTGGTGTGCGGCGACTTTGTCGCCGCTAGTTATGGTTATTATACTGCTTTAGTTGTAATATAT